CAAGCTGCCCAGCTGGGTAGCGGGGAGCCGGGTATGCGTCGTAAATTTCTTGTCAGACTAGTAGTTCGGGACGAGGGCACCACCAAACGGCATCAGCTGTGGACTCTCCGGACAAATCAGCCGTCGTCGAAAGCTCAGCGTACCGTGGACCGGCCTTCAAGCCTGCCGGAAATCAGAGGCTCCAGACTCCCAATCCGGCGTGGGGATCCTTGATCTGTACTTTCCCCGCCCGCCACATGACCGCGCAGTCGAGGCACCCGAAAACCCGCTTTCCCCGCCCACCACGTAACGTACGAGAGGTCGCGGACGAGGCTTAGCGATGGGCGGCACGTCAGCCATCGGCGAGGCCGTGGCGTCCGGCCGCGGTCCGGCTGGACGGCGCGGCGCACGCTCCGCACGCGCACTCCGCCGACGCCCCGGTGAGTGGAGGTGTGCCGCGTGACGTGACGCCACGCGACGCCGCGTAACGTAACGTAACGCAGCGCGGGCGGCACTGCTGCCGCCATGTGGTCGCTCGCTTGCTGGGAGAAGCGGCGGCGCCGGCGGCCCGCCGTCGTCGTTGCGCGAGCGGCTGCCGCTAGTGGCGTCCGACCCCGGGGCCCTGAGTCCGGGGCCCGACCTCGCGGCGTCGCGGCCGCTCCGTGCTGGCGGCGGCGGGCGCGCCGGCGGCGGCTGCGTCACGGCGTGAGACTAACCGCCGACCCGTGCGCGTGCGCTGCCCGCCTGACCTCTGACCCCGACCGCGCGCAGACGTGACTGACGTCAAGTTCGTCATCAACTTCGACTACCCGAACAACTCTGAGGACTACATCCACCGCATCGGGCGCACCGGGCGCAGCAACAACAGCGGCACGGCCTACACCTTCTTCACGCCCGAGAACGGCGCCAAGGCGCGGGACCTGGTGTCGGTGCTGCGCGAGGCGAACCAGGTGGTGAACCCCAAGCTGCTGGAGCTGGAGAACTCGTCCCGCGGCTACGGCGGACGCAGTAAGTAGGCAGCACTGGCGGGGGCAAGGGTGTGCACGTGTCTGTGACAGCTCTCTATGGCTGTAACTGATGGAATTTGCGTGGCTTCTCGGGCGGCTGAGTTCTTCATTCGAGCTATAAGACAGAAGTGGTAGCCTTATTCCTCGGAGAAAACCCAGGATACTGGAGAATAGTTTTTGTATGAGGAATAAGGCTATTAGTATTTACCTTCGTGTTATCCATATAATGTTCTTCACACATGTACTTAACATCGTATTTTATTCGAGTTTTATAGGTATATGTTTCTTTGAAGTCGCCTCTAGGCCCGCCCCCCCCCCCCCCCCCCACCACTGCATATTGGTAGGTGCGACAGATTCATCATTCTCACGCCGCGCCGCTGGCCTAGTTCGCGGCGTATTCAGGAATCTGAGAGTATGGCGGCCCGACCGGACGCGGCGCCCGCGTGCTGCTGCTGCGCTAGCGAGCCGTCCGGCGGCCTACACTGCCCCTCCCCCCCCCCCCCTCCCTTCCCTGGCCTTCCCCCGCGGCCGGTGCCAGCTGGAGTCTGACGTGTGTGTGTCCGTTACAGGCCGGTACGGCGGCGGCGGACGGCGGTCGGGCGGCGGCGGCCGCGGCTTCGGCGGCGGACGGTGGTGAGCCCTATGCGGCCTAGGGTAGACATTCAATGTTTAATTTCACTTCATCTCATTTAGTGTTGCCACGCGCGCGCCGCCCCGTCTCGTGCTCGGGCCGGGTGTGCGCCGCCCGCGGCAGGAGCGGCCCGCACATTCCACACTGGGAGCCGCCGGGCCGCCGACACGTCCCTGCAGAGGCCGCGGCGCCGGTCCCGGTCCCGGTCCCCCTCTCTCTGTCTCAGGCTCTGACTGCTGTAGTTGTAGCCCCGCCCGCCACCGCGCCGCGCCGCGCCTCGCGCGGTGCAATGCTGCTGGGTGTCGCCAGAGCGCCGTCTGGGCTCTAAGAGCCGCCGGCCGGCGTACCTGAGTCGGTGTCTGCCAGGTGACGTCAAGAGACGCGCAAGCCTCCGTAGTGGAGTCGCCCACATCATTAGAGAACGTGCCGTGTCACAGCGTGCCGCCAGCGTCCAACACGACTTGACGGAAGAACCGGGACGTCCGCTCTGGATGTGAACGTTGTATTTAATGTCGACCAGTCAACGTCTCAACACTGCTTGAACTGTGAACAACAAAGATGTCCGTACTAGGAAACACGCTGTATTACCAGTCGAGAGCGCTGAAGGCTGCTGAAGATGTCAACTGACGCACCCGTACTGGAAATACACGCTCTTTAAACGACTTGTGTTTAATGAAATTCAGGAAAGCAGTTGCCGAGAAATTTAAGTAGATAAGGTGCGGACATTTGGAGTGATGTGCAGCTGCGATTCGCCCTCCAAAGGCTCACCGGCATTTTGGTGGGTTTCTCGCTCCGCTTTACCGCGGTTTGCGTGTTGACCTTGAAAGGCATTCCTCGCAGCACGTCTTGCCGGTTGAGCCAGTATCGAGTCTGCCCGCATGGGTCGCGTGTGGCCGGCAGCTGTCCGGCCCAGTCTCTCGGCTTCCTTTGCCGGCCTCTACGTTCCACAAGGTGTCAGAGCAGGGCACATCTGCACGCGCCGTGCCGCTGGCATCACGCCTCCGCCCGCTCCGGCTTCCACGGCTCACCGGCCGCCGGGGTTTCCCAGTGGGCGGGCGGGGCCGCCGGCGCTCTCCGAGTGCAGCCGTCCCTTGTGGGAGCGGCGCCGCCCTCTGCCTCGGGTAAACGTGACGGTTCCCTTGCTAGTGTGACACCGGATCACCGGACTGGGCTCGGCTCAATCCAGCGGCACGCACACCATCATTCTACAACCGGCGCTGCGCGCGTCTCCCGCGCAGCTCGGACTGGTCTTGTACTGAAATTACGATGTCGGAGGATCGACGTCCGCTCCAACTGTTTTCATGTAAATTTAAATTTAAATTTCCATGTAAATTTATGACGCGAAGTTGCAGAGATTTGTGTCTCGACAAAAACTCCGGAAGCGGCAATCATTCGTTGCTAAAACGCACGTTTCTAGGATGCGTGACAGGCGACCCACTCGCGCTGGTATTGGAACGGCCAGAGGGGGATCGGTACTCGTCCGGGTTAAAGCCAGCCCGCCTCGCCCTCACCGCACTAAGCACCGCCGTCAGATATATATGTATATTTGGATCGACGTGGCTCCCGCAAACGTTTCTAAACCGTCTTCAGAACGGGCCACTGAAAGACGTCCATGTTGTGCCGGGCCCCAGAGCGCCGGGAGCACCTCGGTGCCGCTGCACCGGCTACAGGCCAGCGGGCCGTGTCTCTGCACACGGCGGCGAATATGGCGAGAACGGTATCTCCGCGACGCCACCACAACCGCTCCACCGGCCGTGCGTCAACACAGCAGCGAGTCGCAGCGGACACTAAGCGATGAGGTCTTGCGGCGAAGCCCGCCCGCGTGCCAGCATACAGGGAATGTGGGACGGGCTACGGTCGAGTACGGCGCCTCTGGTCGCATCAACCTCGCGCCAAACTCGCAGAGGACTCGAGATCCAGCCAGCGGAGCGCACAGGACAGCGGCAAACCCAGCTGGCACAGTAAGCAGACCGCACGACAGCACACAGACCGGGGACAGGCGGCTGCAATGTCTGCAAAAGCCGCGTTAGCGTCAATCGCACGCGTTCGTCGGCCGCGGGTCGTACTCGGTCAAACATCATACAGCACAGCAACCACGATAAACAGCCCCTGCAATCCAATGCTAGCCAGACATGTCATGCTTTCTTCGGCCATGCGGTCTGATGAGCTAACTCCGAATCCACGTCTCAGCGTACACATCCACGCCAAATATACCGGGGCGAGAGGAAGCTCAGAACAGTCACGCGCCAGTTTCGCCCAATTTCTCCCGAACGGAGGCGCCCACGCGTCCTTGAGACCAGCGGAGGCGCGCCACCAATGACCTTGGCCCGGTTACGATATGGCGCGCCATACACAAGCGGAGCGGAGGCGCTCTCGCCTGCGCAGATCCCCGTCGAGGTCGCGCTGTTTCTGCGCCAGATCACGGAGAGGTACGGGCCACCGGGCTGGCCGCTCGCGCCGGGACACACGCGGCTCGCAGGCCCTACCGCGGGGCGGCGGACGCGCCGGCGGCGGCGCGGCGAGCCGGTGGCAGGCCTACACTGACCAGCACTGCCAGCCAGCGCTCCACCGGGCGCCCTGCTGGTGGTATCAGATTCTCGCAGGCGGCAGCCTCTGGTCGTCGCGTTTTGAGCACAACCGTCCGAGGCTGGGACCGCTCGCATGGGGCCTTGACGGTAAACCGCAGGAGCCTGTCCCGGTTTTGGAAAACGTGGACGAATATCGGGCAGCAGTCCGAGGCCGCAGCGGTCTCCCGCGCACCCGAGTCCGGCCGTAGCCTCCACCGAGGCCACATTTGTCCCCGCTGACCCGGCCCAGCCGTAGCCTCCACCCATGACAAGACAAAGGATTCCATTACGTTCTTCCATGACTTAGCTGTCTCCTGTCCGATTTCGAGTGACTTACCAAAATCGGGGCAAGCCTTACTGCGTTAACGGTTCAAATCCACTGCGATAGGGTTAAATTTCAACGACTGTCCCCGCAAATCGACAGCACAAGCGGTTGCCGCCATAGCCAGCCTGCAGCATCACTCATCCACAAAACCCGACGCCATTTATCCGCGCACGGATGCGTTACAGTGTCAAAAATAGCACATATGGATACCTAAATACGCATGCTTCTCCCGCATAAACATCTTTAACAATGTGATCTCACCGCGCGACATCGCGATTCGCCTAGTGTAATACAGCAATGGGTAGACCTATCAATAGTAATGTGCGCCCAGAAAGGTCGTGGCCTCAGGAACTCCCGGCAGACTCCGCGTGGTGCCGAGCCAGCGCCGGGCTGAAAAGCCGGCAGCGCACGTGCGGACCTCCTACCAGCCCCCAGTCCTCACCGCTGGCAGGCCCTTCCCTCATCACTCCCGGCGGTCCTCGAGCCACATCTCTCTGTTGCCGAGACGCCACGTGAGTCCACACCGAGTCTGTGCCGGCTCCGGGTGCCCTCGGCCGTTCCGAGCCGCCGCCGCCGCCACCGGCCGTCACACGCCCGCCGTGCTGCGTCAGTCCTCCTCGTAGTCCTCGACGAGGCCGTAGCTGCGCCGGTGCGTGCGGCCGCGCGGCAGGATGGCGTCCGACTCGGCGCCGGCGGCTCCAGTGGCGTGGCGCGCGCCTCCCGGCCACAGGCTGGCCAGCAGCCGGCGCCCGAACGACGGGTGGTTCAGCGCCTCCGGCTGACTGAAGTCGAAGTCGGCGATCTCCAGGTTGTAGCTGCCGGGCGAGCAGCGAGCTGACACGGCGCCGCGTGATGTCACAAGGAAAGGGGTGGCAGCAGGGAGTAACACAGACGCTTCAAACGTCTAAACTTTGGGAGAAAAAAACTAAAAACCAAGATGTTGCTGTATGGCAAAACTTGAATGAGCACACGTTATTGCCACGCTTGTTTTTGAGCGTCCCTTCATTACTGCGGGCTTGAAATGAATTCCCACCAAGCACTCTCAAAAGAAAACGCCGGTCAGATCTCACGCGTTGCGAATAACTCATAACTCACGGCATACAGAACAATGAAGACTTCCTACACAAATCATGACTCGCGGCACGCAGAACAATGAAGACTTCCTACACAAATCATGACTCGTCGCACACAGAACAATGAAGACTTCCTACACAAATCATGACTCGCGGCACGCAGAACAATGAGGACTTCCTACACAAATCATGACTCGCCGCACACAGAACAATGAGGACTTCCTACACAAACCATGACTCGTCGCACACAGAACAATGAAGACTTCCTACACAAATCATGACTCACCGCACACAGACCAATGAGGGCGTTCTCTCAACAGGATCTAACGGAAATGCATAAGCTGACCCGCCAGTTATGTGAAAATACCCCGACACGGCTGCCCCACGGCTAGGGGCCCAGAGTGAGCCGTCAAACACGCTGCACAGTCGGTGAAGTGGCGGCTCCCGACTGATCAGCCGGCACTGTCCCGTGCCACGAAGCTTTAAAAGACGCGGCATGACAATCTGTGGCCGCCCGAAAGTTGACATTTTCATTGTCTGCGCACTACAGCTCCTTCATAGAACAGGGCAAGGCCGGGAACCACACCGCGACAGTGGCTCACGTACCCAGAAATCGGCTCAGCAGCAAATCATCCGCGCGCTTCTCCCCCTGTCACAGACCCCACACACCACCGCCGGGTCCCTACTCACTCACTCCCCCTGTCACAGACCCCACACATCCCCGCCGGATCCTCCCTCCCCCTGTCACAGACCCCACACATCACCGCCGGGTCTCTACTCACTCACTCCCCCTGTCACAGACCCCACACATCACCGCCGGGTCCCTACTCACTCACTCCCCCTGTCACAGACCCCACACATCACCGCCGGGTCCTACCCACTCCCTCCCCCTGTCACAGACCCCACACAGCACCGCCGGGTCTGTACTCACTCACTCCCCTTGTCACAGACCCCACACATCACCGCCGGGTCCCTACTCACTCACTCCCCCTGTCACAGACCCCACACATCACCGCCGGGTCCTCCCTCCCCCTGTCACAGACCCACACATCACCGCCGCGTCTATACTCACTCACCCCCTTGTCACAGACCCCACACATCACCGCCGGGTCTGTACTCACTCCCTCCCCCTGTCACAGACCCCACACATCACCGCCGGGTCTGTACTCACTCCCTCCCCCTGTCACAGACCCCACACATCACCGCCGGGTCTGTACTCACCCACTCCCCTTGTCACAGACCCCACACATCACCGCCGGGTCCCTACTCATTCACTCCCCCTGTCACAGACCCCCACACATCACCGCCGGGTCCCTACTCACTCCCTCCCCCTGTCACAGACCCCACACATCCCCGCCGGATCCTCCCTCCCCCTGTCACAGACCCCACACATCACCGCCGGGTCCTCCCTCCCCCTGTCACAGACCCCACACATCACCGCCGGGTCTGTACTCACTCCCTCCCCCTGTCACAGACCCCACACATCACCGCCGGGTCTGTACTCACTCACTCCCCTTGTCACAGACCCCACACATCACCGCCGGGTCCCTACTCATTCACTCCCCTTGTCACAGACCCCACACATCACCGCCGGGTCTGTACTCACTCCCTCCCCCTGTCACAGACCCCACACATCACCGCCGGGTCCCTACTCATTCACTCCCCTTGTCACAGACCCCACACATCACCGCCGGGTCTGTACTCACTCCCTCCCCCTGTCACAGACCCCACACATCACCGCCGGGTCCTCCCTCCCCCTGTCACAGACCCCACACATCACCGCCGGGTCTGTACTCACTCTCGCCGTGACCGAATCAGTTTGATGGAGCCGAACAGGATGAAGACAAGTGCGGCCAGCGCGCAGCTCAGCGGGATGATGTAGTACGACAGCTGCGACTGGCGCGCCGCTGCGGCGACAAACACGCCGCGGCAAGTCAGACTACCATACAGACTGTCGCCACACAGCGTTAGACCATCATACAGACCGTCACCACACGGCGTTAGACCATCATACAGACCGTCACCACACGACGTTAGACCATCATACAGACCATCACCACACGGCGTTAGACCATCATACAGACTGTCGCCACACGGCGTTAGACCATCATACAGACCGTCACCACACGGCGTTACACCATCACACAGACCATCACCACACGGCGTTAGACCATCATACAGACTGTCGCCACACGGCGTTAGACCATCATACAGACCGTCACCACACGGCGTTAGACCATCATACAGACCATCATCACACGGCGTTAGACCATCATACAGACTGTCGCCACACGGCGTTAGACCATCATAGAGACCGTCACCACACGGCGTTAGACCATCATACAGACTGCCGCCACACGGCGTTAGACCATCATACAGACTGTCGCCGCACGGCGTTAGACCATCATACAGACTGCCACCACACAGCGTTAGATCATCATAGAGACTGCCACTACATGGCGTTAGACCATCATATAGACTGTCACTACACGGCTGGGCGTCGCCAAGTCTGACGCGGCACGTCAGACTGATACAGACTACCGTCACCCAGTCTCTGCGGCCCATGACTACAGTGGTCAGCAGGCCGCCTGTCGTCCCATGCTTAAGCACGTGCAAGACCATTATTAGCTCTTCTTAGCGGACAACCGACACGGCGTAAGACGAAACCCATGCAGAAAATCAACACCGGGGAGCCGAGTCAACAGTCTGACGCGCACGAACCACTTTACTGTTGACCTGTCACTCGTCGTCATCACCATCAACGCATTCGGCAATCATAATGGTAACGCCGACAATCAACGTGTACGCTTGCCACCAATACACCTATGATCGATATAGCCGCCGGCTCGCCTCACAGGGACCTCAAGCCAGCGCCGATGGCGGCCGGCGGCGTGATGACGGGGCGGTGGGCGGCGCCACAGAGGAGCGGTCGGCGACGCCACACAGGGGCGGTCGGCGGCGCCACAGAGGAGCGGTCGGCGACGCCACACAGGGGCGGTCGGCGGCGCCACAGAGGGGCGGTCGGCGGTGCCACAGAGGGGCGGTCACCGGCGTTAGGCGGGGCTGTCAGCGGCGCCACAGAGGGGCGGTCGGCGGCGCCACAGAGGAGCGGTCGGCGGCGCCACAGAGGAGCGGTCGGCGGTGCCACAGAGGGGCGGTCACCGGCGTTAGGCGGGGCTGTCGGCGGCGCCACAGAGGGGCGGTCGGTGGCGTTAGGCGGGGCTGTCGGCGGCGCCACAGAGGGGCGGTCGGTGGCGTTGGGCGGGGCTGTCGGCGGCGCCACAGAGGAGCGGTCGGCGGCGTTAGGAGGGGCGGTCGGCGGCGCCGCAGGGGAGCGGTCGGCGGTGCTAGGCGAGGCTGTCGGCGGCGCCGCAGAGGGGTGGTCGGCGGCGTTAGGCGGGGCTGTCGGCGGCGCCGCAGAGGAGCGGTCGGCGGTGCTAGGCGAGGCTGTCGGCGGCGCCACAGAGGGGTGGTCGGCGGCGTTAGGCGGGGCTGTCGGCGGCGCCACAGAGGGGCGGTCGGCGGCGCCGTCCGTACCCGTGTAGACGGTGATGGCGACAGGCGTCACCCGCCGGCTGACGGCGTTTGAGAGCACGCTGACGGCCGTGTAGGTGCCGTTGTCCCGCAGGTAGCGCACGATGCCGACGCTACACTCGGCCGTGACGCTCGGGTACGGGCACGTCTCGTTCCCTGCCGGCAGTGGGGCGACGCTGCCACCGACCGGGCCTCCAGCCGCTCACACAACAGAGTAGGCGCGTCGGTGACAGCCGCTGGGAAGACGGCTGACCGCGCAGTAGGCTTTACAATCGTTTGAATGTTCCGTGAGGCTGTGCAAGAGACACTAGAACGTTCGAATATTTAACTATAAGTTCCAACTTTCAGATAACATGATCAGATAACTTCCGACAAACGATAACCAATGATAATTAACTTTTCCATAGATAATACATTCAAGTAAATAGCAAAATAAAATTCGCCTGTACGCCTCCTCTGCCCCTGACGGCTCTCCAGCCCTTGGCGCTTGACGCTCGATCCTCCCTTGGCGCGTCCCCTGCTGTTCCTCCAGGACCTCCCCAGCCCTCCGGCGTTCCCAGTCCTCCCGAAAACTCCCCAGTCCAGACCTGTCCCTCTGACGCCACCCCACCCGGCTCTCACCTGTCCCTCTGACGCCACCCCGTCCGGCTCTCACCTGCTCCTTTGACGCCACCCCACCCGGCTCTCACCTGCTCCTCTGACGCCACCCCGCCCGGCTCTCACCTGCTCCTCTGACGCCACCCCGTCAGGCTCTCACCTGCTCCTCTGACGCCACCCCGCCCGGTTCTCACCTGCTCCTCTGACGCCACCCCGCCCGGCTCTCACCTGCTCCTCTGACGCCACCCCGCCCGGCTGTCACCTGTCCCTCTGACGCCACCCCGCCCGGCTGTCACCTGTCCCTCTGACGCCACCCCGTCCGGCTCTCACCTGCTCCTTTGACGCCACCCCACCCGGCTCTCACCTGCTCCTCTGACGCCACCCCGCCCGGCTCTCACCTGCTCCTCTGACGCCACCCCGCCCGGCTCTCACCTGCTCCTCTGACGCCACCCCGTCAGGCTCTCACCTGCTCCTCTGACGCCACCCCGTCAGGCTCTCACCTGCTCCTCTGCCGCCACCGGCGCCCGGCTCTCACCAGTGACGTTGTAGCGGCCGCTGTAGACGTTGACGCAGTAGTTCCAGGGCCCGGTGCCGTTGCAGTGAACAGTCAGGTTGAGCAGCTCGCCGTGCTTCAGCCAGTTGTTGCCCGACACATTCACCACCGTGATCGGCGCTACGGAGCCGTGCACAGCCGTCACACGCAGGTCAGACCGCAGGCAGGCGCCGGACAACACCACAGTCGGGTCCAGTTCTCTGAGTGCGGTTACATTGTTCCCCTGATAGCAAAAAACCATCCAGAATTCAGATGACAGAAGCAATGCCACTTCAGGTGTCGGCCCTAGTTAACTTTTTGTTAGACAATCAACCCATGCACCGCTGTAACTGGGTGTATTTCCGGATATCTAACACAAAAATACCCGCATTATACATATCATCTGTACTTAACATCACATGCGAGGTACCAACGAGCTCTTAAAATCCTTGAAAAAGTATCGGGGCGGGGCAGACCCGAAAAACCTTGATCAGAGTAAACGATCAATCACAATAAACAGTCACGGACCGGCGATACCTAACATCAACCATGATACTCGCAGGCGAAAGTATGTGACGGCTGAAGATTCCGTATGTCAGTGCTCTCCTGTGACAAAATCACCCATGGTGGTAGCAACAGTTTTCACGAGTGTAGACCGAACGATCATATGACGTCCTAGCAGCAATAGCTCACTGACTTAGCAACAATCAGCAGCTGACTAGCCACGCACTTAAGAACGATTTAACCGCTTGACAAACGCAAAAACGGTCCAGCCATTTCTATCCTAAATAGTCATGCTCTGGGGACAGTATAAAAACCCGTCATATCCATGATGTGGCACGACATGATGTCAAGTACCGGTAGCCATGCCCCGGCTCTGGCCGGCCCGCCGAAGCCCACTGACCGTCCACGAGGAAGCTGAGCGAGAACAGGCCCCACTTGCTCGAGTCGCTGCCGGTGCCGGCCGTCACGTTCTTGTCGAAGTGCGCCACGGCGATGCAACGCGCGAAGTTCGAGCCCAGCTTGGTGAAGTTGTAGCTGGAGTCAACGGTGCCGGTCAGAGGGAAAGGACGACCACCAGTACAGAAGGGGTGGAGCCGGCACCGGGCGGCGACGGTCGGGGGGGGGGGGGGGAGACGACCGACAGGATAACAGAGGTAGAGCCGGCACCGGGCGGCGACGGTCGGGGAGGGGGGGGGGGGGGGGGCGACCACCAAGACAGCAGAGGTGGAGCCGGCACGGGGCGGCGACGGCCGGGGAGGGGGGGGGGGGACCACCAAGACAGCAGAGGTGGAGCCGGCACGGGGCGGCGACGGTCGGACGGGGGGGGGGCGACCACCAAGACAGCAGAGGTGGAGCCGGCGTGGGGCGGCGACGGTCGGGGAGGGGGGGGGGGGGGCGACCACCAAGACAGCAGAGGTGGAGCCGGCACGGGGCGGCGACGGTCGGACGGGGGGGGGGGGGGGCGACCACCAAGACAGCAGAGGTGGAGCCGGCACGGGGCGGCGACGGTCGGGGAGGGGGGGGGGGGGACCACCAGGACAGCAGAGGTGGAGCCGGCACGGGGCGGCGACGGTCGGACGGGGGGGGGGGGGGGGCGACCACCAAGACAGCAGAGGTGGAGCCGGCACGGGGCGGCGACGGTCGGGCGACGGCTCAACCGCACAGGGGTAAGCACGATGTTGATACGAGGAGAGCGAATGACGACAGCCAAAACGAACCATGGTCACACAGGACGAATCGCACCAGAAATTAAATAGCGAAACGCTTGCGAATAAAAAAAGGCGAACACGCTAGAGTACACGGAAATTAAGCGTGGCGGCCATCTTGAAAAATAGTGCATATCACGAGATGACGGCCAGAACAACGATCGGATTACAGAGTGGACTCGCCGCCTTCCAGCGCCGCCCGGTCAACTGGCCAGTGACGTCACTCGACGCCGGGCACACGCACAGGCGTCCAGTCCACAGCGCCACGCGCCCGATAAACAAGGGACCAGCCGGTGCCGGCGGGCGCCCGGTCAGCAGCGGGCCGGCCAGGCGCGGCCGTGACCCGGGCCCGACGCCTCCGCGGCTGCGGGGGCCCACACCATCCTGTCCGCCTGACCTCGGCCTGGACGGCGAGCAGCCCAGCCAGAGCTGGTTACGCTCCGGTCAGGGACGGGGTCAGCTCAGCTCGGCAGGGGATGGCGAGTGGCGTCTGACCAGCGCCAGGCCAGGAAACGAGTCCAGCCAGAGCTGGTCACGCTCCGGTCAGGGACAGGGTCAGCTCAGCTCGGCAGGGGATGGCGAGTGGCGGTGTGACCAACGCCACGCTAGGAAACGACTCCTGCCAGAGCTGGTCACGCTCCGGTCAGGGACAGAGTCAGCTCAGCTCGGCAGGGGATGACGAGTGGCGGTGTGACCAACTCCACGCTAGGAAACGACTCCTGCCAGAGCTGGTCACGCTCCGGTCAGGGACAGGGTCAGCTCAGCTCGGCAGAGATGACGAGTGGCGGTCTGGCCAGCGCCAGGCCAGGAAACGACTCCAGCCAGAGCTGGTCACGCTCCCGTCAGGGACAGGGTCAGCTCAGCTCGGCAGGGATGACGAGTGGCGGTCTGACCAACGCCAGGCTGGGAAACGACTCCTGCCAGAGCTGGTTACGCCCCGGTCAGGGACAGGGTCAGCTCAGCTCGGCAGGGGGTGGCGAGTGGCGGTCTGACCAGCGCCAGGCCAGGAAACGACTCCTGTCGGGACCTTGACCTCACATGTCCTGTCCACGCTCTGTCCATGTCACATGTCTTACCCTGCCCTTGTCAGCTCGGTTGAACGAGCGCCGAGCTCCACGGGCCCCGTGTCGATTCCCGGTAATTCCAATGACGGACCTTGGACTGTGATGCATGCCTGACTGATAGCCCAACCGCATCCAGCCCTTAGGCTCAGGACTCAACAACAGCTGACGGCGGCCAGAGAGCTGGCTGGCCAATGCTGTGCACGTCGTAACAGACCAGACGACGACGACCGTTTGGACGATCATTCCATCGGTGTTACCCATATCTTGTCTCAATCTTTCCGCAAAACTAGAAAATGCGCTTCAAATATTTTAATCGCTAGTCGATGCGAGCAACTGTTACCGCGTTTCAGCACGCGAGAGCGCAGGCGGGGCGTACAGTGCGCGGGGCAGAGTGCGCCTCAGTACATTACATCAGCGGCATCAATGGTGTAACATGCTGAGCTGACATGTGAAGTCGCATCAAGCGTATCAAACGTAAACGCTGACACGTGTCAACAATTTAATACAGGACGGCACAGAGCCTTTGAAAAACCGATCACCTTCGCTCGCGTCAGGCGTATGCGGGATTTTTGACAAGATAGTGGCTGCCCTGCCGCGTTGATGTGGTTTCTGGAGCAATCGGATCTTTATAAAGCACGCAGCACGTAGATAAGACAGTAGTATTAGTCTTATTCCTCGGAAAAAAACAGGAGAATGTAGATATAGTTGGGTGGATATTTCGGCAACATGCCTTTCTGGAAACAATAGCGAAAGTGCACTTCTGCTATTGTTTCGAGAGGCATGTTGCCCAAATATTAACCCAACTATATCTACATTCTCCTGTTTTTTTCCGAGGAATACAGCTAATACTGCTGCCTTATCTATGTGAATAATGTTCCTCGCTAATGCAATGAACAAGTTACGTAATACGTAGCACGGGTTTAGAAATTTCGTTGCAGGGCTGGAATTGCGGCCATCCTAGACACGGCTATCAAAGAAGCTTTTAAGCAAAAAGATGTTTTCACCTTGTCCGACGTCAAAAATGTCTTTGACATAATTCAGCGTGGCGGCGTTCTGACAAAACTTCATAAATTTGGCGTGCGCCGACATTTGAACATCTGCCTCGATTGCTCCACTTAAAGGCTATTGCTCACGTGCTCACCTAGACATTAACATAAATGGTGTCCTACAGAGGTGCAATGTAAGCGAGAACTTGTTCGCCATAACGGCGTGCGCCATCGGACACACGCTGCCTGCTCACGTGGAGCCTTTTCTGTTTATTTTCTGTTTTCTGTTCTGTCTGTTGAGTTTACGATCTGGGTGGTCACTATTGCTACGTCAGCGTCAGCGAGTCGCCACAGACTAAACGCTGTCTAGATAACACTGTTCAGTGAAGCACATCATACAGCTTTATATTGTCAGTAACTCAAACCATACCCCAGCTTTATATGAAGTTGAGCCTGGCTGTATTTGACCCCTTGAGTCCTGGTCGTGTCTGGGTGCTAACCGTACCTGAGGGCAGTAACGTCAACTTCATTGTCAACTGAGCTCGAGATCGGGGAAGCACCTGGCTTGCACCCGCCCCTGACGTCTGGCGCTTTTGAGGCACGCCTGGCGCTCGGGTAGACACACCTGAGGTCGGGTGGACGCACCTGAGGTCGGGGTGGACGCACCTGAGGTCGGGGTGGACGAACGGCCCCAGGTTTCGGCGGTCGTTGACGGACCAGAAGTACTCGATCTTGCTGGCCGAGTCGAGGAAGTGGTGCGGGTCACGGAAGCGCACCGTCAGGCGCGTCTCGTTGGCGGTGCTGACGTGGCCCGGCTCGCGCTGCGACACGCCCGGCTGCGACAGCTCGATGTGGCCGTTCAGGTTCACTGACGGCGGCCGGCAGACGCCGCGTCAGCCAACGTTAGCCGGCAAGCGTGGGACATCAGTGACGTGACAACACAAGGTCACCGCGTGACGATACGTGACGCTGATGTCACCGAGGCTGCACGGATCGCGTGGCGATGCGGCGCGACGGTCGCTGCATCATGTGGCAGCAGGCAACACGTGCGGAACGCCATCAGATGCGATGTGACCCATGCGTGACCATCATTTGCCACATGCTTTGATCACGTGATCAAAGCAGAGCGTCATGCCTCATGGCCATCGACCAATGGGTTACAAGCATGGCCATATAGTTGCGAGACTGAAAATGTCATGTTAAATCAGGAATCCTGTTCAAAATCACACAGCCACATGAAGCACGCGCTTTACTTATTTGCGTTCTTCTGCTCTTCCGCTCTTAGACACTCCCCGCTGTTCGCTGTATCTCCATCAGTTCAGTCAGCACCATACCACATAACCAGCAACATCACCTGGCAAGTAAGCCCCTCCCACAATAACGATGGCTCCACAAGAAGACGCAAACATGCGAACTGGTAATCAGGCAAGTAAGGATCTTGAGCGAACATCGCCGACTGTCAGCCCGCAAGCACCAAGTGAGTTGAACATCCGTGTCGTCTGGAGCCCTACCCGACCCGTGATAACCCGAGTCTGACCCCACCTGTGGCGACCCCGACCCCGGCCGACCGGCGCCGGCAGTGCCACCCGGGGCGTTTCCCGACCCGTGATAACCCGAGTCTGGCCCCACCTGTGACGATCCCGACCCCGGCCGACCGGCGCCGGCAGTGTCGTCTGGAGCCCTCTCCGACCCGTGATAACCCGAGTCTGACCCCACCTGTGGCGACCCCAACTCCGGCCGTGCCGCCTTGCAGCGGCGCCGGCGGTGACCCGGACCGCACCTGTGATGCTGTACAGGGTGGACTGCTCGCCGATGACGCTGTCGGGCAGGATGGTGCGCGGCTCCTTCACCGTCACCGTCATCGTGTAGTAGCCGAACAGGTCGTTGACGTTGAACACCACCAGCATGGTGGCCTGCAGTGACGACGTCGGCTCCGACTGTCGGGTGTAAGGTGCCAGGTCATATGGCAGGTCGGGTGTCAGGTCACGTGTCAGATGCCTGGTGTCAGGTGTCAGTTCGGGAATCAGAACGTATGTCAGGTGTCAGGTGGGGTGTCACATTGAGCTGGCTTCGGTCAAGCACCAAAAACCGTCGGTTGAGGCGAGGTGTCAGTTCGGCTAAGGTCAAGGGTGAAGCCCGGCGTCCGGCCCCGTCACGGTGGGCGTCAGGCCTGGGCCGCTCCGGGGGCGGGCCGCGCGGGAACGTCAGACCTGGGCCACTCCGGGGGCAGGCCGCACGAGAACGCGTACGCTGGAGGACGCCCAGCACCCAGATGCAAATAATAACGTCCATTCTCAATCCCAGGTGTGTTCAACAGCATTGTAGAACACTGTGCTTCTATTCGAGCTTCGGCCACTTTTTACAGTCAAGCACAATGCTTTTTATCAATGCAACTATCCAACAGCCTGGAGCCTTGAACAGACTATGCCTCTACCGTGTGCAGTGTGTCTTGTCAGCAAGTCAAAAAGACTAGTTCGTTGCTGTAGTGTGGGCACGATGCCTACCTTGCTGCACTTTGTAACGCAGGTTCTGTACTCAGCACGATGTACCGTTGAGACGAGAGCATCACCTCGTCTGCAGTGTAGAGGTACTGCACACCGCACGTGCAGTCAAGGTGAGATCCGCAACTTGTGTTTGTGTCTGAGCCAGTCTGTGTTTGTGTTTGAGTCAGCCTGTGTCTGTGTCTGAGGCAGTCTGTGTCTGTGTCTCAGTCAGTCTGTGACTGTGTCTGAGCCAGTCTGCATCTGTGTCTGAGCTAGTCTGTGTCTGCACCTGAATCAGTATCTGTCTGCAACTGAGCCAGTCTGTGTCTGTGTCTGGGCCAGTCTGCATGTCTGTGTCTCAGTGTCTGTCATGTCTGAGCCACACCCCATTACAGTGCAGAGGTGTCACACACCGCACCCTGTCACGCGGGCGCCGGACGTACCTTGTTGTAGTGCTGGGGAGACGCGTTGTCAGCCCACTCGTATATGAGCTCGCTGGGGCGGCCTTCATCACCGTCCAGCTCGACACGGGCCGTGAACATGATGGGCGCCCCCACCACCGCCGGGCCATCGTTGTCCAGGTACACACGCGCGCCACCTGGCAGGAGCAGGAGCGTCAGCCAGAAGCACCGGCTCTCCACCACGGACAGCGTGGAGGCCCACACAGCCGCAGCATGTACACCCCTCCTAAGGAAACTTGGAAATGCTGGAAAAGCCTTATAAAATGAGCATCTTTGACATATCACCTGATGTAAGTCATGTTGCCAGCAATGATGTAATTACTGACCAATGAATATCAGTTTTCTCCAATGAACAGAGAATGTGCAACATTTTAACACAAAATGACCAGCATAATCACATGCAAATAGACCCTTACAAGCCGATGATTCCCTGGCATTACAAATTAATGTATGTGATCTACACAATACTGAGATTGTTCCATGCTAATCACCCCTAATGTCATACACAGACTCACCAATGATAGGAAGAAACACCAAAACTACACTGAACCACATGACTGACGTCTCAAGTGGTGCATCAGTTACTTGCTTGCACTCATTTTCTTGGTGCTGAATGGCTGTAAAAAATATCCTGTTCTTTACACAATTATGCACCAAATGTTCACATGCTGTGATTGGCAGGGGTATGGCAAAAGCAAAACAGCTCAGTGGTGGATGATGAGTCATCACACTGATTGCCCTGATGCTGCATGCCCTTAAATATCATAACACCACCAGCCAACCAAATATTTTTATCCTTTTGTCTGGAGCTGTATATGGTACTATAAGAAAACAATGCAGTCCCACTGTGGTCTTCAGATCCCAGGCATCCCCTTAGCTGCACTTATGAGGACATATTACACCTTTTTAATGGGCAAGGACATGATTTTATCTATATGATATCACTAGGTGACCATATTATGAGCAGCAAAAACTGAGACATAAAACATGACTCAAATAATCATCCACATCATGAGAGCTAGATCGCACCACAGCTGAACGGGCTTGCATAATAAAACCCTGTGTGTGTGACATTTAAAAGCAGAAAAAGTGTATATGATAACAGGTAGCAGGTGGTGACAAAACCCTGTTAACATGTACATCAAAATATTTTTCAATGGTTTTGATCAAATTGCTTGTACCAATATAATGGTCAAAATACCAATAAACACCCTGAAGCTACCACATCTCTACCAAAGTGACAGCAAATGCATGGGATTTAAATGCCATGCAAAATATGGAGTACCCAATAAACTGTGCATGTGATATAACATTAAGATATACAGCACACAACACTTCCTAATATGCATAAATACTTTGATACTTACAAATATCATGCTTTCAAGTATGGGACTGAGTAAGTGCCAGTACAACTGACAGGAAATAAGTCACAATTCTTAACAGTTTGGTGAATATTGGTCCACAAGCCCTCTCTTCCCCTATGGATAGCATGTACCTGGCCACTATGCATGTGGAAATGCACCAATTTTAAACATAAATTAAAAGTTAAAGTTAATATGGCATCTTTCACAATCATCTGATAATCACTTAACATGGTTTATTCCCATCCCTAGGACACAATGCTGGTTCACGTTCAGAACACTGAGTGGGCAGACATCAGCATACTGTAATGCAATACACATGCATGACAGCCCACTGTATCAATGCTGGCCATCCTGCACCAGAGGTTTCACTAGCTACTACAAAACTCAAAGGAAGTCACAGCTTGGAGGCTAGAAAGAACTAGGGGCACTTTACATACCATCACATGAATGCTGCTTATCTCTTTTGATCCTACATAGAGAAGCAACCACAGAATATTGTAGGTCATGGACATGCAAGATGTAAGAACTTGATGACTGTTGAAAAGCAATTGTGATTGTGTCTATGCCATTGCAGGCAAGCTAGAATATTAGAAACTTAATGTGACTGCTGTTCAATGATATCATTGACAGGAAGGTTAACATACAAATTGTATGACAGTACACAAATGGATGCCATACTAGACTCTCATCACTCATTCAGGCATGAAAATGCAGTACCATAACTGTTGCAACAGTCAGTTGTTCTTAGACAACCTCATCATAGCCCAGGGAGCAAAACAAGACAGATATGAACAAGATTTTGTTAGGGAATATCTGCAATAAGAAATACAATGTGGGGTAGCTTCTTCAAACTTTTGAACACAATTCCCTAGCACAAAGAGCCCATACTAACATGAGGCCAGTATACAAAACATCCATCCACTGCGCCTGGTATTGCCCTGAATTTTGAAACTATTTTAGGCTGGCAAAATATGATTAAGCACCTTTCTTTTATTATAATATTCTACTTTCTAGATGCATCAAGTTCTCAATGCACTGAAGTTATAGGCAATTCCATGTGCCAAATGTAGGGCACTTTTGTTTATGGCATCAGTGTGCTAAAATTGCTGCCACAGCATTGCTGCTATGTCAAACAGCTACCTGCCGCAAATGGTAAGATTCCACCCCAAGTGGGCAAAAATTTCAGTTGGCATGAATTTATCCCGAAATTACTAGCCATAGAATACAGATAAATTCATAATACGGCTAAGCTACATATTTGAGCATTTCTGCTCACCATGTAATATATAAGCTTTAATCTGGCGTGCTGACCGATAAAGATCTCAGTAAACGCAAACTAAACAAACCATGTCTATGCAAAACAAAAATGTCAACATTCACACCAAGCCCTCCAGGGTCAGCAAAGGGTATTCTTCAAGTACTTCACCTTTTTTAGAAGAAGAAAAATCTCCACCGCGAGCGTTTTACGCGCAGTGCGGCACGAGCTCAACCAGCTCGCGTTAGCAGGATTGCCCAACTTTGAAATCATACAATCCAAACGACATCTTTAGCACCAAAAATAAAGAGCAGGCAATTAACATTATACACTACGTCGTTTCGACCACTGCTACTCACAATGCTCGCATGATTGCCTATCATCTTCAAGAAATAACCATCTGATAATACAATAATTTCGGCCACAAACAGGTCATATGATTTTTAATACGCAGACAGCCGACGATTTATAGCATGTACTAAAAGGGCAACATAAGCACCAAATTACGTACATTCGAGCAATTAAGAAAAGTATCCCAGTTCTTCACATTCGTGTCTCGAATTGATATTTCCAAGCAGACAGCACAGAGAAAAACCCAACAATGTCGGCGGAACTGAAGCATTTCCAGCAGTCTTAAAAAACCGACCAAGCCACGGGAACCAAACACCGAAGCCAAGCCAACGTTTTCGGTGCGGTACATTGACGTCTATTAGCGCAGTGCATCTCATACACGAGTCCGGATAATGTGATCCACACTTATTAGGACCAAACACATCGTGACGACATTGTCGCTTAAACTACAACACTTGGATTCAATTAATATGACTACTCCGTTTGCCGTGACATGCTGCCATCATGTCGTGCAGAGGGACTGTCGTAGTACCCTCTTAAAGTAGTGCACCTCTTGTACAATTCCAACGAGCAAGGCTTGAAATCGCTCTGACATCCAGAGACATACTCTGCCGAGATCATATGCCAACAGCCACCCTAAGGAAACGGATCAAGCCTCGGGAAACGAAGACTGAAGCAAGGCCATCGTTTTCGGTACGGTACATATACGTCTGTTAGCGTAGTGCACCTCACACACGAGTCCGGATAATGCGATTCACACCCTTAGAACTGAACACGTCGTGCTGACAATGTCGATGGAACTGCAAGACTTCGGTCCGATGAATAAGACTCATGCATTGCCGTGAGATGCTGCGATCATGTCGTGCAGAGGGACTGTCGTAGCACCCTCTTAAAGTAGTGCACCTCTTGCACAATTCCAACGAGCAAGGCTTGAAATCGCTCTGACATCCAGAGACATACTCTGCCGAGATATTATGCCAACAGCCACCCTAAGGAAATGGATCAAGCCCCGGGAAAGAAGACTGAAGCAAGGCCAGCGTTTCGGTACGGTACATATACGTCTATTAGCGCAGTGCACCTTACAGACGAGTCCGGATCATGCGATTCACACTTACTAGGACCAAACACATCTTGCTGACGATGTCGGTGGATATGCCAGACCACGGTCCGATGAATAAGACTCATGCATTGCCGTCAGATGTTGCCATCATTGGCGGACGGACTGCAGTAGCACCCTCTTCAAGTAGTACACCTCTGGTATAATTCCAATTGGCGGGACCTAAAAACCGCTCTGGCATCCAAAGACATTCTCTACCGAGATAATATGCCAATAAAAATCCTAAGGATACGGACCAAGCCTTGGAACCAAAGACTGAAGCTAGGCCAGCGTTTTCGGTACGGCACATATGCGTCTATTAGCGCAGTGCACCTCATGCACGAGTCCGGATCAGGCGATTCACACTTATGGAAATTAAAACACATCGTGCTGACAATGACGGTGGAACTGCGAGACTTCGGTCCGATGAATAAGACTGATGCATTGCCGTGAGATGCTGCCATCATGTACGGACAGGCTGTAGTAGCACCCTCTTAAAGTAGTACACCTCTTGTATAATTCCGATTGGCGAGACCTAAAAACCACTCTGAAAGGCAAAGACACACCCCGCCGAGATAACATCCCGACACGAACCCTGAGGAACAAAGCCGAGCCCCGGGAACCGAGGACCGAAACAAAGGCAACGGTTTAGGTACGGTACATATACGTTTAGTCGTGCGGTGCACCTAAAACAAGAGCCCTTACAACGCGATTCACACTAAGTAGAAATAAACACATTGTGCCGACAATGTCGGCTGAGCTGCAATGGTTTGATTCAATGAATAAGACTCATGCACTGTCGTGGGATGTCACAATCATGTGCGGACAGACCGTAGTAGCACCTTCTTAAAGTAGTGCGCCTCTTGCATAATTCGTTGGCGAGACCTAAGAACGGCTTTGTCATCCAAAGACACACTGTACCGAAATAACGTGTCAACAGCAATTCTAAGAGAACGGACCAAGCCCCGGAAACCGAAGACCGAAGCGAGGCCAACGTTTTCGGTACGGTACATATATATTTATAAAGCGCAGCGTACCTTATACCATCGTCAGCAAGATGTGTTTAGTCCTAATAAGTGTGAATCGCATGATCCGGACTCGTGTGTGAGGTGCACTACGCTAACAGACGTATATGTACCGTACCGAAAACGCTGGCCCTGCTTCAGTCTTCGTTTCCCGGGGCTTGGTCCGTTTGCTTAGCGTGGCTGTTGGCATATTATCTCGGCAGAGTACGTCTTTGGATGTCAGAGTGGTTTCTAGGTCTCGCCAATTGGAATTATACAAGAGGTGTACTACTTGAAGAGGGTGCTACTGCAGTCCGTCCGCCAATGATGGCAACGTCTGACGGCAATGCATGAGTCTTATTCATCGGACCGAAGTCTTGCATATCCACCGACATCATCAGCAAGATGTGTTTGGTCCTAATAAGTGTGAATCGCATGATCCGGACTCGTGTATGAGGTGCACTACGCTAACAGACGTATATGTACCGTACCAAAAACGCTGGCCTTGCTTCAGCCTTCGTTTCCCTGGGCTTGGTCCGTTTCCTTAGGGTGGCTGTTGGCATATTATCTCGGCAGAGTACGTCTTTGGATGTCAGAGCGGTTTCTAGGTCTCGCCAATTGGAATTATACAAGAGGTGTACTACTTGAAGAGTGTGCTACTTGCGGTCCGTCCGCCAATGACGGCAAAATCTGACGATAATGCATGAGTCTTATTCATCGGACCAAAGTCTTTCATATCCACCGACATCGTCAGCAAGATGTGTTTAGTCCTAATAAGTGTGAATCGCATGATCCGGACTCGCGTGAGGTGCACTACGCTAACAGACGTATATGTACCGTGCCGAAAACGCTGGCCCTGCTTCAGTCTTCGTTTCCCGGGGCTTGGTCCGTTTGCTTAGCGTGGCTGTTGGCATATTATCTCGACAGAGAACGTCTTTGGATGTCAGAGTGGTTTTTAGGTCTCGCCAATTGGAATTATACAAGAGGTGTACTACTTGAAGAGGGTGCTACTGCAGTCTGTCCGCCAATGATGGCAACATCTGACGGCAATGCATGAGTCTTATTCATCGGACCGTGGTCTGGCATATCCACCGACATCGTCAGCAAGATGTGTTTGGTCCTAATAAGTGTGAATCGCATGATCCGGACTCGTGTATAAGGTGCACTACGCTAATAGACGTATATGTACCGTACCGAAAACGCTGGCCTTGCTTCAGTCCTCATTTCCCGGGGCGTGATCCGTTTCCGTAGGGTGGCTGTTGGCATAATATCTCGGCAGAGTATGTCTCTTGATGTCAGAGCGATTTCAAGCCTTGCTCGTTGGAATTGTGCAAGAGGTGCACTACTTTAAGAGGGTGCTACGACAGTCCCTCTGCACGACATGATTGCAGCATCTCACGGCAATGCATGAGTCTTATTCATCGGACCGAAGTCTTGCAGTTCCATCGACATTGTCAGCACGACGTGTTCAGTTCTAAAGGTGTGAATTGCATTATCCGGACTCGTGTGTGAGGTGCACTACGCTAACAGACGTATATGTACCGTACCGAAAGCGCTGGCCTTGCTTCAGTCTTCGTTTCCCGAGGCTTGATCCGTTTCCTTAGGGTGGCTGTTGGCATATGATCTCGGCAGAGTATGTCTCTAGATGTCAGAGCGATTTCAAGCCTTGCTCGTTGGAATTGTACAAGAGGTGCACTACTTTAAGAGGGTACTACGACAGTCCCTCTGCACATGATTGCAGCATGTCACGGCAGCGGAGTAGTCATATTAATTGAACCCAAGTGTTGTAGTTGAAGCGACAATGTCGTCACGATGTGTTTGGTCCTAATAAGTGTGAATCACATTATCCGGACTCGTGTATGAGATGCACTGCGCTAATAGACGTCAATGTACCGCACCGAAAACGTTGGCTTGGCTTCGGTGTTTGGTTCCCGTGGCTTGGTCCGTTTTTTAAGAATGCCGGAAATGCTTCATTTCCGCCGACATTGTTGGGGTTTTCTCTGTGCTGTCTGTTTGGAAACATCAACTCGAGACACGAATGTGAAGAACTGGGATAATTTTCTTGATTGCTCGAATGTACGTAATTTGGTGCTTATGTTGTCCTTTTAGTACACGCTATAAATCGTCGGCTGTCTGCGTGTTAAAAATCATATGACCTGTTTGTGGCCGAAATTATTATATTATCAGATGGTTATTTCTTGAAGATGATAGGCAATCATGCGAGCATTGTGAGTAGCAGTGGTCGAAACGACATAGTGAATGGTGTTAATTGCCTGCTCATTACTTTTGGTGCTAAAGATGTCGTTTGGATTGTATGATTTCAAAGTTGGGCAATCCTGCTAACGCGAGCTGGTTGAGCCCGTGCCGCACTGCGCGTAAAACGCTCGCGGTGGAGATTTTTCTTCTTCTAAAAAAGGTGAAGTACTTGAAGAAAACCCAGCAAAGTACCTCGGTACGGTTGAAAACGTGATCCAACGCAACCAGAATGCAGCAACAACCAGAAATAGTCACAAAGAAGTCCAAAGCAGGGCGATGTATTGTCAATATGTTTGTCCCAGAATCGTCATGACCGTCGACAGGTCAGAACTTTCATTACCAGATACTTTTTAGCCAAGCCTTCGGCAAGAGCAGAACCAGTAGGTGTTTTGAGTGTCTTATACAAGCTAAAGGCATTGACCTATACATGGGTCAATGGTTAAAGGACGTTGGTGCCGCACTCACGATTTTTCTAAGAAAGAGTGGTGTCTTTTCTTTCCTCGGCTTTGAAGATATATAAAGTACATTTAGGTCTGCTCTCTTGACTTTAAGACACTCCCGATTACATCAGTGGAATGTTGATAAGCAAATGAAATGAGAGGAATTCGTAAATTGTTAAATCATTCGAGAATCGCAATCATCCCTGCATAATGATAAAGTATCATTCAAAAAACTCACAAAACCCGCCTGGAGCACGTCAGTATTCCGCCAAACCTTCCACTCGGTTACGCTAATTTAGCCAAGGAAACGTAACTGGCAATAGGCATTACACCTAACTCTGGAATCGTAAATTGCTTGCCACTAGCAGAGATCGTCGGTCGCCGTCAGTCGCGAACAGGCCTCCAGCTCGCGGACGATGGGGGTCGAGAAGTTGTGCGCGCTGGAACTAAGTGCTGAGACCGTGATGGACGTGATTCAGTAACCGCGCTTTTGCTAACCAAGCGTTATCGCGAACGCCTTTTGTATTCCCTCAGTGAGCACCCATTCGCTTGCTGGCCGTTGCACGTTATTGCACGAGTGTATGGCGGCAAGTGATCTTTGGAGTGACTTGTACTCTGTGATGCGGCCTTCGTATCGTGTTCATTGTTGGATTTCACGATACCTTTCGCTGTAGTCAACAAGAGAGACTTGTACTTGTAAATGAAGAAGCCTTTTGTTGCTACCTCTTTTGTACTGGTGCAAGGGAAATATGTCTGATGAGAGGATGCAAGAGTGGATCAAGCTTAATGTGGGTGGGACGAGGTTCATGACCACTCGGACAACACTATGTCAAGATGAGAAGTCTTTTCTGTATAGACTTTGTCAAAGTGACATGGATCTGAACTCAGCCAAGGCAAGTTATGACAATACTTGTGATGTTTTGTTCATGCATACTGGACCTACTCATGTATGGGAGTTTGGTTCCTTCTAGTGCTAGAACTGTCATCCTTCATTGAAATGGTTATTCCTGCATGCAGTTCATTTCTGTGCTCATGTTCATCAAATTGCATAAATGGATGGTGGGCCCAGGGTTTATGTCACAAGCACAGAGGCTACACAGAGGCTATACTGTAATACCTCTGCTACACAGAGGCCATACTGTAGCATAGCCTCTGTGTTGCTTCTGTTCCCAGGAATCCATCAGTTTGAAGGGCACAGACACAATCTTTGAAAAAGGTGTTCAAGAATCTGGTACTGATGCTACTAACCCTAAATTCCATCATTTTTCCTAATGTTATATCATTAGGTCTATTACAAGGCATGCAATCCTGTGGAGTTGCTCAGCTCAGCAAGGGGGGAGGGGGGGTTATGGATCTGCCAAGGCCCCTGTGGCTATTACCCTGGTTTTCAGCAACAAGAAATGCTATCATGAAAGTACAGTGCTCATTAACTTACAGGTATTAAGTTACTAGCATGACAACTGTTTAATGAAAGCTAATCTTTGCTACACTGATGGAATGAAATCTGCCAATTTTGCCATCACCTATTAGAGATAATTTCTTAATCAACTTCTTATATTTACTTGTATGCTTTTTTGCTCCTGAAATGCAAACTTTGTAAATTGAACATTTATTTGCAGCCCAAATACACAGGGCAAGTGAAAACCAGGCCTAGATGTGGACAAGTCAGTGTCTCAGTGGCTGAAAACCAACACATTCTGACTGAGAAGGAATGGACATTTATATTGGCAAAAGTGTCAGCTCTTGTGTGTGGACATTCATTCCCATCAGGATAGGAATCAGGGTTTCATTCAAGATTTTTTTAAAGGGTGATGTCAAATCTTGACAACTGGAGTAATGACAGTGTAAAACCAGCTGTGCCTTGTGTGCCAACAGACCACCTACAGATCAGCAGCTCCCCCAGAACTGTCCAGCTCACCATTCTTCCATAGGTCCCAGGACATGGCCAATGTGACAGCTTCAAAATGTCCAAAGCTGGTCAGGAATGCAGGCTCTTGTTGCCAAACTGAATGGATTTGGGGTGGAGGTCTGTGAATGCCTGCAGCCCAGTTTGTTGCAGTCAGTTTCCACTGAAGATGTGACTACCAGTGTAATACTTTATTTGGTGCTCACCCTCCCTGCTTAGGTGAAAGGCAGGCAATGCTTTAAAGCCTCAGCAGCTGAATGTGTTGTAAATCCCAATGGCATGGTTGGCTATCAGTAAAACTGTTTATCATGATAGCAATCTATTTCATTGGCTGAAGGTGTTGGCCTAGCTAAGCATATGTTATCACAATCTTGGGTCAGTACTATTTGTAAAACTAGAATGTGCGAAGGCTATGTTGGGCACTCCCAGCTAGAATGTGCAAAGGCTGTGTTGGGCACTCCCAGCTAGAATGTGCGAAGGCTATGTTGGGCACTCCCAGCTAGAGTGTGCGAAGGCTATGTTGGGCACTCCCAGCTAGAATGTGTGAAGGCTATGTTGGGCACTCCCAGCTAGAATGTGCGAAGGCTATGTTGGGCACTCCCAGCTTGATGAACTCTCATAGAAGGCAGGCTTTCCAGCTCACCAATCAGGCTGTTTGTTACTGGCTCACAAAATTCTCACCTTTTTTTTTGGTTTTCAGCATAAGCACATGACATTGATAACTCTGACATTTGTACTCCTCTACTCCTGCTCCGGCCAAGGCCGCCCTCAAACAGTTTAAGGAATTCCATTATTTGCTCCTCAGCTTGCTGTTTAGCTACCATTTCTGTATCGTTTACAACAGGTTTAGCCAGGACAGCCTCTTTGAAATGAACAACAAAATTTATGATGGCATCTGTGGAATACATGATGCTGCATCAACCTTGGTGGGTGTTGTTCATATGCCTGCTAGCGGCATGCGCCAGCGTACCTGACTCGCTGACCGGGGCCGACTGTCCGCCGCAGGACGAGAAGGGCGCCTACCTCATCGACCGTGACCCCGGCTACTTTGGCCCGGTGCTCAACTACCTACGACACGGCAAGCTGGTCATGGACAAGAACATGGCCGAGGAGGGCGTGCTCGAGGAGGCCGAGTTCTACAACATCACCGGACTCATTCGACTGGTGAAGGATCGCATCGCCAAGAGGTGAGGGGAGCAGGAGCGTGAACAGGACCTGACACCGTGCGGAGGGGGGGGGGGATCCATGATTGGGGAGCAGCTGGTATTGATAATTTGGCATTACTGGTCATGTTCCCTGCGCCGGATTGCCGTCTTGTGAGTGGTGGTCAGAAGATGGTACTTGGTTGGAGGTAGTGGAGCACAAACCATCATGTATGGCCCCTGTCTGGCCGGAAAGTGGGCCGTGTTGCCACGCGCGGGGGAGCTGTGTTGCTGAGGAAGGCCGAGCACGTGTTACTCACCGCTGTCTGTTGATCGGCCGTATGATGATATGCGATAGGATGTGGATTGACCTCTGTCGTATTATCACAGTTCTGTGCTTATTTGTTGGACTTTCGGGCGCGTCGACTGCACGGACAGATAGCGCCAGTCACGCCCATCAGCTGCCAACTACATTTCTACCGCGTATGCCGGCCGTCCCCTGTTTTGCACATGACTGCCTTGTGTCGGCTGTCCTCCGGGTGTAACCCTGTGCGCCCTACATGCGCGTGCCAGCAGACACAGCGTCTCACATTCCAAGCCGTGCCTCGTGTGCCCCGATGGTGTGTGCCTGCCACGTCCACACCGACTGCGCCATCGCCCCCGTCCATCTCGGCGCTGACTCCGCCCCTGCGTGCGGCCGTCCGGCGCTGACCCGCCCCTGGGCGCCCACTCGGCAGGGAGGCGGGCGCCGTGGGCTCTGGCAAGCACGTGTACCGGGTGATGCAGTTCCACGAGGACGAGCTGACGTCGCTCATGTCCTCAATGAGCGACGGCTGGAAGTTTGAGCAGGTCAGTGCGGGGCGCCACACGGAGGGGCTGACAGAGCGGGCGGTGGTCGGTCCCCTTCCACAGGCCGTGCTGCGCCAGAGGACACAGAGGAGCTGACAGAGCGGGCGGTGGCCGGTCCCGAGACCGTGCTGCGCCAGAGGACACAGAGGAGCTGACAGAGCGGGCGGTGGCCGGTCCCCCTCCACAGGCCGTGCTGCGCCAGAGGACACAGAGGAGCTGACAGAGCCGGCGGTGGTCGGTCCCCTTCCGCAGGCCGTGCTGCACCAGAGGACACAGAGGAGCTGACAGAGCGGGCGGTGGCCGGTCCCCAGACCGTGCTGCGCCAGAGGACACAGAGGAGCTGACAGAGCGGGCGGTGGCCGGTCCCCCTCCACAGGCCGTGCTGCGCCAGAGGACACAGAGGAGCTGACAGAGCGGGCGGTGGCCGGTCCCCCTCCACAGGCCGTGCTGCGCCAGAGGACACGGAGAGGCTGACAGAGCCGGCGGTGGTCCGTCCCCCTCCACAGGCCGTGCCCTGTCTGCGCGCTCGTCGGCCTGCCAGCTCAGTCCCGCGGCTGGTCTCTCGCTATGGCCGGGTGTCAGCCTATGGGGACTGGAGCGGACCCGATACGCCCGGGGCGGCCGCGGACGTCACGCCTACTGCACACACATTCGATGTACATATTCGTCGCGAACACCTGCTTGTGCAACCCTGATTGGCTCAGCATCCAGCTGCAGCAGACCTGCAGCGGTCGGCGCAGTGTTGCGCCTGTGTTGTGTGAAGTGTGACGTGCCTGGGGGTAGCATGCCTCTGACTGGGCCCGGCAGGGCTGCTGTTCTGAACGGGCCCGGCAGGGCCGCTGTTCTGAACGGGCCCGACAGGGCTGCTGTTCTGAACGGGCCCGGCAGGGCCGCTGTTCTGAACGGGCCCGACAGGGCTGCTGTTCTGAACGGGCCCGGCAGGGCTGCTGTTCTGAACGGGCCCGGCAGGGCTGCTGTTCTGACTGGGCCCGGCAGGGCTGCTGTTCTGACTGGGCCCGGCAGGGCTGCTGTTCTGACCGAGCGCGGGAGGGCTGCTGTTCTGAACGGGTGCGGGAGGGCTGCTGCTCTGAGCTGTCAGTGACCACCGCCACTGTTGCCAGTTGATCAACGTGGGCAGCCAATACAACTACGGCAACAACGACCAGGCCGAGTTCCTATGCGTGGTGTCGCGCGAGTGCACCTCCTGTGACAACCACAGCAACCGGCGCGAGCCCTCCGACAAGGCCAAGGTGGGACGCCGCCAGCAGCGCTGACGCATGGCGAGCGCCCGTGCTGAATCGAACCCGAGATCCGCCCGTCACCAGTACTCGTGCGGCCGTCACTTGACGCTGCAGCCTTCAGGCCGGTGCTGGTGCGGCCTTTGAAATAGCGTAGCGGCAGCGCCGGAACTGCACGCGTGGAGCCGCTTTGGGTGCACGTGCGCTGTGATTCCGTACGCGCGTTGCAGTATGATTGGTCTCCGTCGTGTGGCGTGGGCAGACGCAGCCAATCGTAGCAGTCAGCCGCCTCCCGCGGTGTCGCCGTCGCCTCACTACTTCCTACCGGTTCCAGATGCTGCTGCAGAAAGCCAGCCGGATGTGATCCGGCCGGTGCCTTAGTGACGTCACACCGGCGTCACGACGTCACGACGCGCGTGCGCGGACCAAGCGGCTGCCGTGGCCGGAGGGGAGCAAGCGCCGGACGTGGGCGCGCCTCGCCCCGGGCGCCGCCGGAGCCGCCGCCGGTGCACCGACCGGTGTCTGTTCGGACGCAGGCCGTCTAGAGGCTTGGCCGCCGCCGCGGTCGGCCCTGGCGCTGAAGCGGACCGCCGGGCGGACGCGGCCGTGGCGGGGGCGCCAGAGGCGTGACGTCACGGCGGCGTTCAGAGGCTTTCAGACGTGTGTTTTGTATCGAGCTTACCGCCGGCGGTCGGCGCGGCGCTTTGTACGTGAGTTTTGTAGGCGCGAGTTTTGCGCCGTGGTGAGCCGGCCCGGCCCGGCGGCTGCCCTGGGCCGATGACGGCCGGCCAGGTGACTCCCGGGAAGAGGGATGCGACGCCGGCCCGAGGCGGGACGGTCAGCTGAGCTGGCCTCGCCCGCTCCGGCCGGCCGCGCAGCAGCAGCCGTCGGAGGAACGATGACGCCCAGCGGCGTGCGGCCGCCGGGGCCGCTGGTCGGCTCGGCCCGACCGCGCTCGCCACCGCCGGCCACGTGCCGCCCGGCGCTGGCTGCCGAGTGGCCCCGGCAGGCCTTCCCACGGAAAGTTCACTGCCACGCTGGGATCGGATCTGGGCGGCGTCGTGCGCTCCAGTAGCGCGCGAGATGCAGTAGAAGCCGTCATGCCTCGCCAGCGGGCTGGTTCGCGTAGTTATGAAACCGTAGCCCCCCCCCCCCCCCCCCCATCGCTCTCAGTCAGATCATCCATTGTCGACGCATCGCGCAGCCGTCAGCTGCTCACCGGCCTTACAGGCGCGCTCGGAGACACGCAGATGACGAGAAAAGCCACCCGATTTAGCGCGCGACGTCGGTCGCTGCTCGCGGTCCGGTCTCGACTGGTCTGCCGGTCGCTGCTCGCGGTCTGGTCTCGACTGGTCTGCCTCATTCCACCGGCCTCAGTTTCGGGCCAAACGTCGGCGGCGCGCACCGTCCTCGTTTGGCCGAGCGCGGCTGTGCTGCCGGCGCCGACACCCGACTCACAATACATGACGTGCGCTCGTGACCTGTGTGGGGCTGGTGCGGAGCCGGCGGCGGCACGGCACTCGGCGGACGCGCGCGAGCCCGGAGGCGGGAGCCTCGGGCGGCAGCGGCGGCGCCGTCAGATGTCGGCCGGTCCCAGCGGCGGCCGAGGGGGCGCGGGCTGGCCGTGCCATCTCGGGGCGAGATTCTGTCGCTGCCTGGCAATACGTCTGGGAAAGGCGGTGTGCCAGGCTTGGACAACGCTAAAGAGTGACGCACACGTGATGCACGTGATCATAATCGCGGACCCCGCGCCGTTTTGGATACCAGACGACGCATTTTGTTATTTTCGACCACCTAGTTCAGGCTTGCGCGCTGTTTCCTTGACCGTGGTGCTGCAGTTGGGTTTACCTACCGAGCGCAAACCCACGCGCGGTCTCGCGGTGGTAAGCTATATGGTAGCCGGTCCTGAGCAAGGCCTGGAATCTGGGAATCTGACCCAGGCTGAGGTGCCGATTGGATTCCAATTTTTGGAATTGCAAAAATGTTCCGAAGTACAATTTGTAGATTGGACGGGTGGGCGAAAATCTTCAGTTTTTTTCGACAGCCGGTATTCTGGCGTGTCCCAACCTGGTATGCATCTAAACCTTTTCAATGTAGATCCACATAACGTGCCCACGACCATCCTCTTTATTTCCGCTCGCTTCCAGTGAGGGAATGCAGCTACGCGAGTAGTGCGTACAGTTATTGGTTATAGGCAGTAGCGATTTGATTTTATTTGTTTTTGGACCCTCTTCGAACGGACAGGTAAGCCATCCTTGCACTGTGGGTTGGACCTCGGACAAGATATTCCAGAAAGCTGCACATTTAACCCGGGCAGTGAGACGTTTGTCGCTCACGGAGACGGCGTGTTACGGTGGGCAGCCGGGAGTCCGGGACGGCTTTTGTCGCGCGCGGTCGCAGCACAGCGCGGCGTCCTGCGTCCGTCAGCATCGCGAGAGCGCCGAAACGGTTCTGGACGGACGTTCCCCGCCGCCGCCGTCCGCCGGCGCCGCCTACGGCACCGTGATTAGAGCCCGCGCTCGAGCCGCCCGCAAACATTTACAGAGCCGCCGCCCCCCGCCGTCCGCCACAGCCGCGCACACAGGCGGGCCCGCGCGGCCGAGCGCCTCCTGCGGAGAGACGGAGGTGTCGGACTGGCCGCGTTTATTCACCAGGCTTACATAAGGGGACGGCTTCCCGCTAAACGCGTGCACGCTCCGGTAGCAATGCGCGCACTTCGCTCCCACACAAACAAGTAAACGCGCAGGATTCTCAGTAGCGCAAGCTTTCACGTCAATGACACAAATATCCCGGAATGATAATGATAATGCCGTACACATTCGGTAACTCGGTAGTGGTTGGGTTATGCGGCACGTTCCGGAAACACGCTTCACGTAGGGCAGCGCAGCACAAGTTGGGCAATGCAGTACATGTTGCGCAACATCACCCCAGCACAGATAAAGCACACATGACCGGCCGTCGTGCTTTACCAGTCATGCGCGAGTCAACAGCTTCTCGCGCCCATCACCCGCCGTTGATAGCACACGAAAGCTCGACGGAGCCTGGAGGGTGGCCGGGCCGGACCGGAGCGCCCGCGCGGCTTCGGCCGCCGCCGCCGCCGCACCTGCGACACCGCCGCCGCGTGCCGCACCCAGGACCGGACGGCGGCAGCGGCGCCGACCTCTGACGGCGTCTGAACCCGGGGCGGCGGGGGAGCGCGCGCTCGGACCCCAGACGACGCGTGAAGACGAGCAGGGACGCGGCTGACCGGACACGAGCAGGGACGCGGCCGACTGGACACGAGCGGAGACGCGGCTGACTGGACACGAGCAGGGACGCGGCTGACCGGACACGAGCAGGGACGTGGCTGACCGGACACGAGCAGGGACGCGGCTGACCGGACACGAGCAGGGACGCGGCTGACTGGACACGAGCGGGGACGCGGCTGACTGGACACGCCGGGGTGACGGCCGAACGGCGCGGCCAGGCCGGCGTCCACGGCGCTCCGTGCAGGCAGCACGTGCCGCCGCGTGCACAGGCCGTGCACCCCAGCTCTCCGCTCGGCAGCTACCCCTGCCGGGCCGCCGTCGTCCGGGGCGGTGGCGGGGCTGCCTGGAGACCGCCGCTGGCCGGGGAGCAGCAGCAGACGACGGCTACCGCTCCGGGGACGTGCCAGGAAAGTCGTTGAGCAGCGGCTGGTCCAGGCACCTGACGGGCCCAGGAACCGTCACCAAGGCTGCGCGCGCACAGCTCGCTCACCGGACCGAACAGACGCCACATCTGACGCCGACTTTCCCAGACACATTCAGACGGACCAAAAGCAACAGATGCGAACCGGTCCTCACCTAAAGCAACTCCATCACAAATGGCAATAACGCTAATATCGTACAATAAGGCATGCGTTTTGCCATCGAACGCCGTTTTCCCGCCAGCATCTTAGACAGGGACCTGAGTTGGCACCACACCTGAGATGAACGAAGATTGGTATGAGCGGGGGCGAACCCCATGGCGCGTCGTTAGGTCCTGGTTAAGTTTACTCCGGAATCTTATTTTGTTGAGTCGCCAGTTACTTGTACGTCATGTCGTTTGCGGTACTTCATGAGATTGTACCGTCCGACCATGCTTGAAGCCTGGGGAAGGATCGTTTTTCCAGTACGAGCTCTAGTTCCGGGTTTCCAGAATAGATGAGTTCGAGTCCCAGTCCTGGTGTCTTCAGTCCACTTGCACGAAACCCGGTCCAGTGATATATCCAACTGTCCAGTCAGAGTCCTAGTCCGAACCATCAGTAGGACCGGTCGACCAATATCGCTGTGTCCCCGGTGCCCGGCCTGACGAGGTCACAAGGTCAAGTTGCAGCCTGGCCCGACTCTGACGCCGCCGGCGGTGACGCGGTGGTCAGCGCTGTCTCGCGCTCAGCACCGCGCGCCGCCGCCCGGCCTGCCGCGTCTGCCCTGACGCGGCGGCGCCCGCCCGCAAGGCCCGGCGTCGCGTCACACGGCGTCCGCCCGGCGCCGGCCCGACAGACAGCGCCCGCTCACCTGACCAGATAGTCTCCACAGAAGAGACACTCACCTAGCCCCGTAGTCTCCGCAGTAGAGATACTCACCTGACCAGATAGTCTCCGCAGTAGAGACACTCACCTGACCGGATAGTCTCCACAGTAGAGACACTCACCTGACCAGATAGTCTCCGCAGTAAGGACACTCACCTGACCAGATAGTCTCCGCAGTAGAGACACTCACCTGACCGGATAGTCTCCACAGTAGAGACACTCACCTGACCAGATAGTCTCCGCAGCAGAGACACTCACCTGACCGGATAGTCTCCGCAGTAGAGACACTCACCTGACCAGATAGTCTCCGCAGTAGAGACACTCACCTGACCGGATAGTCTCCACAGTAGAGACACTCACCTGACCAGATAGTCTCCGCAGTAGAGACACTCACCTGACCGGATAGTCTCCACAGTAGAGACACTCACCTGACCAGATAGTCTCCGCAGTAGCGACACTCACCTGACCAGATAGTCTCCGCAGTAGAGACACTCGGCGGCCACCAGCTGGTCCAGCTCCTCCCGGGCGACCACCCGCGGGCTGACCTGGGCCGCGCCCGCCGCCGCTGCCGCCACCTCGTCCTCGGGCAGCGTGCTCAGCTTGTGCTGTGGGGAGGAGGGGCGGCGTCAGCGGGCGCCGACGGCCGGCCCCAGCCGGTCAGCCGGCCGACGCCTGAGGACGCCGCGTACCGGCCGCCGACTGCAGACCCCAGCCGGTCAGCCGGCCGGCGCCCGAGAACGCCGCGTACCGGCCGCCGACTGCAGACCCCAGCCGGTCAGCCGGCCGACGCCTGAGGACGCCGCGTACCGGCCGCCGACTGCAGACCCCAGCCGGTCAGCCGGCCGACGCCTGAGGACGCCGCGTACCGGCCGCCGACTGCAGACCCCAGCCGGTCAGCCGGCCGGCGCCCGAGAACGCCGCGTACCGGCCGCCGACTGCAGACCCCAGCCGGTCAGCCGGCCGACGCCTAAGGACGCCGCGTACCGGCCGCCGACTGCAGACCCCAGCCGGTCAGCCGGCCGACGCCTGAGGACGCCGCGCACCGGCCGCCGACTGCAGACCCCAGCCGGGTCAGCCGGCCGACGCCCGAGAACGCCGCGTACCAGCCGCCGCGGGCACCCATTCACCAGCACAGCACTTCGCTCTGCCCACCCAAAGCCATTATTCCTCTGCGCTAGCTGCCGGCTTCCTTAAATACATGTAGGCTCCACGGGCGGGCTGTAAGCTGTATAATGGTGCGCTTCATCGCGACACGCTCGCGGCCCAGGCGGTGTCGGGATGTTGGCACGCAGTCCGGGCTATGTGGCTGTCAATCCGGTGTCGGGACGGCGCTACGCAGTCAGGGTTATGCGGTCGTCAGTCC